AGGTGGATACATGGCATCTATCTGAATAATAGGGGTGTTTGGGAGTTCACACCCCATAATAGGGACTCCCAACTTATCAAGAAGATTGCTTTGATTAGGAATCAGATTCTTTCACATTTTGGCAATATTGATGATGCCATTACTTTCCTAAATGGCTGCCAAACTAATGGGAAGTTGTCCTCGGCCAAGATCTATAATCTTCTTAGAGTTAAAGGGGGAACTCACATGTGGATGTCTTTCATTTGGAAGAACTACATCCCCCCAAAATTCTCCTTCACGGTTTGGTTGGCTTTTAGGGACCGGCTAGCTACTTTTGACAATTTGCATAGATTGGATGTTGTGAATATTTGTCCTTTTTGCAAGGGTGGTCCGGAAACGGTACCACACCTATTTTTTGCTTGTGTTTTTTCAGGAAAGGTGTGGCATATGGTAAAGAGCTGGCTGGATATCCCTAGGCAGATGGGGACTTTGCATAGCTCGCTGAAGTGGATAAAGAGGAAGAGACAAGGATCCGGCATCAAATCAAAGGCGGCTAGGATTGCTTTTTGCTGCTCCATCTATTGGATTTGGAGGACTCGGAATGCTGCTTGTTTCGATGGCTTGGCTCCTAAAGTGGAAGATGTTTTTGCTAAAGTCCAATTTGTGGTCTACAAGATCCTTTATAGCCTTTATGCTTTTGAGCTTGTAACCGTCTAACGCCTTTTTGGTGTTGTTTTTTTTTTTTTTTTTTTTTACTGTGCGTGGAACTGTGCTTTTGTGCCTTTTTGTGCTGCATCTTCACTCCTCTTGGTGTTGATGTGGCGTTGGCTGTTGTTAGGGCTTTGTTTTGTCCTCGGGTTATCCTTGCCGGATAGCCTACATTTTTGTCCTGCTTGTACATTCTTCCCCCCTCTTCTCTTGGGTGAATCTTTCAATATACTTACAGGTTACCCAAAAAAATTGAAACCAGCGCCTGAAAAAATAACAAATAAAATTTAATGTAGGAAATGTTGAGAGCTTCTTTCTCCTGGGATTTTTGCCCAGTTCTTTTGCCCCTAAGGAGTTCATGGATTTTTCGATTTTGTGAGTTAGAACCTGGTTTCTGTTGGGATTCTTGGTCGGATTTCCACCCTAATACCATTCCTGGGCTTGGATCAGGATTTTGAATGGTGAAATATGGTCAATAAACCCAAAAACGAGATGATGCTCGCGGATTTTACTGTTCACGGGCGATTTCTGTTCGTGTTGCTTCTGTAGAATTTTCTGGAATCGATTGGTGTGAGGGAGCTATTCCTATGTTATCTGTCCTATTTCGGTGTTTAATTTCAGAGCCAAAGGTCATCTCTGAGCTTGGGCCGCAACTTTAAACTCGAACTGGTGCATAGCGCAGGTACTGTTCATGTTCGCATCTGGTTTTTGAAAACAGAGCCGGAACTTTCCTCTGGTTTCTGAGGTTTCTGAGGTTGCTGCGGTTTTGCTGATAAATATACGAAGCTCATATACGGTGAACTTTGCTGCGGTTTCTGGTTTCCTCTGGCTTGAGCCTGTGTTCTGCTACTGCAGGGGAAGTGGTTTATACTGTTCAGTCTGCGATTTTGGGGGAAATTAGCCCGTTCCCAGAATCTGGCTACTGCTATTGACGAACAAAGAGGAGTCGCTAGCTCCTGCAAATGATGGGAAAAACTAAACAGAGCAAGGTGGAGTCTTCAGCCAGAATTACCAGGTCTAGAGCAGGTTTTGAACTACTAGATGGGATTGAGGATGATTTTCCTATGCTATCCAAGGCAGCTGGGAAAAAACCTGCTGCTATTTGCGTTGGGAGTCAGTCAAAAAGTGATGTTATTGTAATTCCTAGTACTGAGACTACTGCTTCAAAGAATGCCACTGAGGAAGGATACCAAAAACCTGTAAATGGGCAGATTGTGTTTAAACAGAATGAAACTACTACTGTGACTGCTGCAGGTTCTACGACTGGACTGGGATGCCACTGCGTCAAAGAGTGTCACTGCTTTAAAGTGCAGGCCGGAACTACTACTGGACTGGGAGAACAAAAATTGGCACTGACCCAGGGTGGCACTTCAGAAAGAAAACCTTGGAGCACTCTGTTTAAGGACAACTGTTCCCCAACGAACGGTCTTAAACTAAAATACGTTCCACCCAAGGAAAATGGACTGGACTTTGCTGACAGAATTTTTCCGTCCATGGTCGACATGTGGGGGTACTGTCTCGTTGGATCTTTCACAGGTAATTTCCCCGGACTGAAAGTGGTTCACGAGTTGAGAGAGGAGTGGGGTGTGAAATGCCAAGTTAGGTCCCATAATAGGGGTTGGGTCATTTTTAAGTTTCAAAGTGAATGTGATAGAACTAAAGTGTTGAATGGAGGGCCGTACTCCAAATTTGGGAAAATGTTGGTACGAAACGTTTCCTAATTTTTGCTTTTATTGCAAGGAGTATGGGCATCATCCCTTTATTTGTAAAGCTCTGGCCGAGAAGGAGAGAGTGGAAGCACATGGCCAGATTGATGTTGGGAAAACAGGTTCTACAAAAGATGCCCACAATAAGGTTGAGCAAGAGGGAAATATAGTACAAACCACCTGCGAATTGATGACGCCTGCTGCTGCGTTTGAGGAACTTGTTGATGCGTTTGAGGAACCTACTGATGCGTTTGAGGAACCTGCTGCTGCTAGTGCACTACCTACTGCTGCTGGTGCGTTACCTGCTATTAAAACAGCTGCCGCCAAGGTTAAAACAGCTGCCCAGAAGGTTGAAAACACACCTGCAGCTGCTGCCAAAGGTAAAAAAGCTGCCCAGAAGGTTGAAAACACACCTGCCGCTGCTGCCAAGGGTAAAAATACTGCCCAAAAGGTTGAAAACACACCTGCTAATGTTGAAACAGATGCTGCCAATATTAAAACTGCTTCCAAGGATTCTGCCGCGATAGAGAAAAATGCCGAGATTGCACCAGCCGCCGACGACACGACCGGGTCTGCCGGGCAGATTGCAAAACCTGCCGGGGGCATGGTGAGTCTCCAAGGGCCTTCCGAAGATGGACAATTTTCTTTGGATGTTGGCGAGAGGATCGTCATGGATAAAAAGGATGTGAAGTTAGATGATGTTGTTATAAAATGTGAGGTGATAAACGGCAAGACACTCAAGTTGTTTGTCAAACCGTTTAAATCCGTGCATGGTAATGTGATTCGAGTGGACAATTTCCTTTGACTTACGGATGATTTGGATAGAAAGGGTCTCACTTTTACCGTTGAATGTCTTGAGGGCTTGCCGGGAGTTACAAAGAAGAAAGGGGAGGTACGCTTTGATTCAAAGTTCACTAAACCTTTCCGATTTTTCCTTGGTTTTTAAATTAGGGAAACCTAATATTTTGTTGATGTTGCTTTCTTTAAGCTTATTATTGCTCCTAGTTTTCTAGGATTAATATGTTGATTTGGGAGGACTTATTGTGAGTTTATTTGGTTCGTAATGCGTTTGGATCCAAAATGGTGATTTGGGTGATTGTTGTTCTTGATTTTGTGGTATCCCGAGTTTAGGGATATGCACTTTGATTGTATTTGTGATGCATTGTACTATGCTATTTTTTTCTGGATATATATATTTACATTTTATCCAAAAAAATTGAAACCAGCGTCTGAAGACAAGTTTTAGAACTCGGTATGATATTTCCAACGAGATATTAAACGCTTTGAACGCCACAAAATAGAGCTAGATATGATCGCATCAAATTCTACACGAGTTCGGAGTGAAATCAGAAACATTTGTGAATATATCGTTATTCTGTAATTTTTAATTAATGCATTGTAAATGAAGTTGGAACAATAGTTTTAGAGCTCCGATCTATCTTTCCAACGAGATATATTACGCTCCAAACGGATAAACACACAACAAGATATGAGTGTCACAAATACTTAGGCTTATCTCTATGATTTAGCGTTTTCAGCGAAAATAGAGCACTTTTAGCGTAAATAAAGTGTATTTTAGTAATTAGGCAATCATCCCTTGATATTTTGAAACCAGCGCCTGAAGACAAGTTTTAGAACTCGGTAAGATCTTTCCAACGAGATATTAAACGCTTTCAACGGCACAAAATAGAGCAAGATATGATCGCATCAAATTCTACACGAGTTCAGAGTGAAATCAAAAACATTTGTGAATATATGGTTAATCTGTAACTTTTAATTAATACAGTGTATTTTAGTAATTAGGCAGTCATCCCTTGATATTTTGAAACCAGCGCCTAAAGACAAGTTTTGTAACTCATAAAGATCTTTCCAACGAGATATTAAACGCTTTCAACGGCACAAAATAGAGCAAAATATGATCGCATCAATTTCTACACGAGTTCAGAGTGAAATCAGAAACATTTGTGAATATATGGGTAATCTGTAACTTTTAATTAATGCATTGTAAATGAAGTTGGAACAATAGATTTCGAGCCCCGGTCTATCTTTCCAACGAGATATAATATGCTCCAAATGGATAAACACACAGGAAGATATGAGTGTCACAAATACTTAGCCTTATCTCTAAGATTTAGCGTTTTCAGCGAAAATAGAGAACTTTTAGCGGAAATACTGTGTATTTTTGAAACTAGGCAATCATCCCTTGATATTTTGAAACCAGCGCCTGAAGACAAGTTTTAGAACTCGGTAAGATCTTTCCAACGAGATATTAAACGCTTTCAACGGCACAAAATAGAGCTAGATATGATCGCATCAAATTCTACACGAGTTCGGAGTGAAATCAGAAACATTTGTGAATATATCGTTAATCTGTAACTTTAAATTAATGCATTGTAAATGAAGTTGGAACAATAGTTTTAGAGCTCCGATCTATCTTTCCAACGAGATATATTACGCTCCAAACGGATAAACACACAACAAGATATGAGTGTCACAAATACTTAGCCTTATCTCTATGATTTAGTGTTTTCAGCGAAAATAGAGCACTTTTAGCGTAAATAAAGTGTATTTTAGTAATTAGGCAATCCTCCCTTGATATTTTGAAACCAGCGCCTGAGAAACCAGCGCCTGGCCTAAGAAAGCTTGAATTTTTTCCGTTAGCTCCAGCTTCTCTCTACGAAATCCGTACACTTCTTCTTCCCCATTGCGTTTTTTGTTCGTTCTTGTTTTCTTCCTTGGATTTTTGGGTGTTTGAGCTCGAACATTAACTGTAATACATCTTCCTTCCCTTAGGGGTGTATTATCTTTAATTTTTTAGCTCAAAACCTGAAGTCTTTGGAGGGCTGGAGCAACATTTTTCGCACAAACACTATTCATACACGAAAAACTCTTTCTTAGATCCCAAAGCCTCCTTTTGAGCTAAGATGATTCTGGATATGGGGTGAGAATCGCCTCTCCTTGGCGCACCACATACTCTAATCTTAGATTCATCCCCCCTATCCGTACAATCAACTTTGTGACCGTTTGTACGGACATTTACTCCATTAGTACGGACAACAAGCTCAAAGAAGAAAAGAAGAAAACAAACTTGGTCTTTGAAGGACTCTTGGAGGCGTTTTGTGCTTACAACGTCCTTGGATGCTCACCTTGACCTTGGATAGCTTGGGACACACCTCCTAGCTATGGTCAACACTCGGAAGCTTGCCAAGGCAGTGTCTCCCATCGCTCCTATGACCGGGAAAAACAAATTGAAGTCAGTTAAGAAACTCCAAGCTCAACACATGGAAGCTAAGATGTTGGATGAAATGGAGAAGAACATATCCTCTACCGAAGGAGACGAGGAGGTTACCAGTGAGTTGAGGCCAGAAAATACCAAAAACAAGGGGGCCAGCAACACTAAGCAACCACCTACCCAAGATGTGGCAAATGACAACACAAACAACAACATAAAGGTAACTTCTTTGGACACCAATATTGTGTGCGAAAATGATGATGTATTAGCGTTGGAAAAAGTTGGTGGGGGGTCTGTATTACAGAATGAAATAGGTATTTTGGCTGTTGGAAACATTAAAGAGGTCCCTCACCAATCCATTAATGAAGAAATTGTGCAAAATGAGGGCTGTTTGGCCGAGATAGTGAAGACTACAAATGCTAGTGTGGAGGCTGTTTTGGAGGCTGTTTTGGAGGGGGGTTTTGATGACCAACCTTTGGGGGTTGTTAGACCCATTAATGTGGTTACTCCTACACCCATTAATGAGACCACACCCTCGGATTTGGAGCAAGATAGGGCAATTGAAAAAGAAAAAAACGTTGAGGTTGAAAAGGAACCATGTGAAGATGATGTCTATCTTAAGGCCATAAATAGGACCAAGAAATGGAGTACTAATGGAGATGCTTCTACCTCTCAAGGCACCAAACAAACTGTCCAAGCTGCCCCTAAACCATGGTCCTCCTTATTTACTAATAATAGGGAACCATCCCAAGGAATGAAACTTACTTACATCCCACCTACCGGAGATATGGTTGACCTTTCTAACTACACACTTCCCTCCATGGTGGAGCTATGGGGGTACTGTTTGGTTGGCTACTTTGTAGGGGTGTTTCCCGGACCTAGGGCAGTCAACGCTATGATCCAAAAATGGGGGGTTCCTTGCAAAGCTAGACCGCATAGCAAAGGATGGATTATCTTCAAGTTCCAAAGGGAGGCGGATAGGGATCAAGTCCTTCTAGATGGACCTCATTCCATCTATGGGAAAATGTGCTACTTGAAAGTCCTTGATGATAACTTCTCAACACATAGTGATGAATTCCTCAAAGTGCCTATATGGGTCAAATTTCATGGGCTGCCAATGAGGGCTTTGAGAGAGGATATCCTAAGTGTCGTGGCTTCTAGAGTGGGTAAACCATTGGCTACGGATAGGGTGACACAAGAGAAAGCTAGATCTTCATATGCTCGTGTTCTAATTGAAGTAGATGCGGCCAAGCCCCCTCCACTCCAATTTGATGTCAAACTTCCATCCGGGGAGATCTATAGCCAAGGCGTAGTGTATGAGACCTTTCCAAACTATTGTTTTCATTGCAAGATGTTCGGCCATCACCCCTTCACATGTAAAACACTCCATGACTTGGAAAGGAAAGAAAGAGGAGAAGAAGTACCCCCCCAAGAACCAAGGAAAAACACTACATTTCAAATAGAAGAACAAAGAAGGCAAATCTATACTATCAAAGCTAAGAATAGATGCTATCATGAGGAGCATCCAAAGGCCGAGACCACCAAGAGCAGCCATGACCAGCCCGTGGCAGAAAGTTTGGAAAGAGAAGAGGGGGAGATCATTGAAGAGGAAGCCACAATCTTAGAAGAAAACCCCCTTGCCTTGATCTTGGCTACACCTAACATTGAAAGGGAAGAACAAAAAGAAGAAGAACTAGTGGATGAGCTTGACAAAATCATGGCTAACAAAGAAGAGGAGCAAGGGACATCAAAGGAAGAGAAGGAGGATGTTGATTTGGAAGTAAGAATTATCAATGATATCCGAGATAGCTACCATGATGATGTGGTCATTCAAGTAGATTTCATTGAAGGGAAACCTCCCAATCTTCACATGGCCCACATGAATGAGCTAGAACTAACCATGAAGCCGGGGGGAAAGCTTGTGAGACTTGATAATTGCCTCTCAATCACCGATGACTTGGATGCACCGGGGATTACATTCACTAAAGCTTGCCTAGAGGGGATGCCTGGGGTGATCCAAATAGAGGACGGGTATGCTTTTGATGCTTTCTTTATGCGTAATATTCATCATCTTTTTCTTGGTAGGTATTTTAGCGAAAATGGCCTTCAAGGCAACACATGGAAGAAAAGGCCATGGCAAGGAAGGAAAAAGAGGATCAAGGATGATGGGGGAACCAACTCAATTGTTTAATGATGATTACGGCATGGAACATAAGAGGCCTTAATAAGGTCTCAAAACAATCTCTTATCTTTAATTTTATTCGTGCTCATAATGTACATATGTGTTGTTTGCTTGAAACTAAAATGTCTACTTCTAATTTTGAAAAACTTAAGGAAAATAGATGGCCACTATGGTCTTCTATTACAAATTTTGATACTATAGATGGTGGCCGCACGGCCCTTATGTGGAATACGAACTATGTTGAAATAGATGTGCTTGAAATTGACAAACAACATATTCATTGCAAATGTGTGTGTAAGACTACACAATTGAATTTTATGGTTACTTTTGTTTATGCCTTGTACTTGGTGGGGGTGAGGAGAACCCTTTGGGATCACGTTACCAATTTGGGATCTACCATAAGTAGTCCTTGGCTAGTTATGGGGGATTTCAATTGTGTTTCTTCCCCTAGTGAAAGGATTGGCCCCACACCACCCTCGGCTTATTACTTACAAGACTTAGTTGACTTCAAGCTTAATGCAAACCTTATTGACACTCCTTCCACCAGTGAATTTTTCACTTGGAATAGGGGTTCACTTTGGGCTAATTTGGATAGAGTTTTAATGATATCTTTTGGAATACTAATGGTATCACTTGCAAAACACATTTTCATGATATGGAGGTGGAATGTGACCATGTTGCACCATTGGTTACTTTCGGCCATAACCCCCCCTTGGGGTCAAAACCCTTCAAATTTTTCAACATGTGGCTTAAACATGAGTCTTTTCCCTCTATACTTCATGAGAATTGGTTTATGTATGTAATGGGCAATGCTCAATTTCGGTTAGTTACGAAACTCCAAGCTCTTAAGAAACCACTCATGGAACTTAACAAGAATACTTTTTCTCATACTCCCTAAAACCTCACACTCCCCCACAGCTGCTGATTTTAGACCAATTGCATGTACAAATGTTCTTTATAAGGTCATTACTAAAGTCATTGCTAATAGAATGATTCCATGTTTACCGGGGCTAATTGAGCATGCCCAGGGGGCTTTTGTAGATGGGAGGCTTATGATGGATAACATTTTCCTTGCACAGGAATTGGTAAAGGGGTACACTAGGAAGCATTGCTCCCCCAGGTGTATGATTAAGGTGGACCTCAGGAAAGCCTATGACACCATTTCTTGGGACTTTCTTTATAGTGTACTCCTTATCATTGGTTTTCCTTTACAATTTGTTAAATGGATTATGGAATGTGTCTCTACCGCTTCCTTTTCTATCTCCATCAATGGAACATTACATGGTTTTTTTAGAGGGAAGAGGGGATTAAGACAAGGTGATCCTATGTCCCCACTCCTATTTGTTTTATGTTTGGAATATTTGTCAAGGTTGTTAAACTTGAGAACTACATCTGATTTTAACTTTAATCCCAAGTGTGGTAGCTTAAAGATTTCACATCTTGCCTATGCTGATGACCTTATGTTGTTTTGTAGAGGTGATACATATTTTGTTAAAGTTTTGATTGATGCATTGAATGAGTTTGGGGAGGTATCAGGGTTAAGAGTTAACTTTGACAAATCTAATATTTTCTTGGGAGGTGTTAGAGACCATGACCTTACGGCCATACTTGACTTGGTGGACTTCAAAGTTGGAGCCTTCCCTGTCAAGTACCTCGGCATTCCCCTCTCCCCCCTTAAACTAGCTATAGCTGAATATGCCCCCCTTTTGGAAAAGATCTCTGATTATCTCAGCTCATGGAACACCAAGACATTGTCATATGCTGGTAGAACTGAATTGATTAAATCTGTTATTCAGGGAGTACATTCTTTTTGGTTACAGGTGTTTCCTATACCCCAAGCCATCCTTGATAGAGTGGTCTCAATTTGTCGTATTTTCTTTTGGGGATGCAAATTTGCCAGAGTTGCTTGGGCAGATATGTGTCTCCCAAAGGAGGAGGGGGGCTTGGGTATAAGACATACTAAAACTTGGAATAAGGCTTTACTCTCTAAGACCCTTTGGGATATTCACCTTAAACGAGACACACTTTGGGTGAAATGGGTGCATGGAGTCTATCTTAAAGGTAGATGTGTGTGGGAATTTTCCCCACACACTAGGGACTCCCAGCTTACTAAGAAGCTAGGGCTGATCCGAGACATCCTTGTCTCAAAATATGACTCCATTGAGACCACAATAGCAGCCCTCTCTAAGATGGTTACAAATGGGAAACTGTGCTCTTCAAATGTGTATGACTTGATTAGAGTTAAGGGCACTAAACAGGTGTGGATGCCCTTTATTTGGAAAGCTTACATACCTCCTAAGTTCTCATTCATTGCATGGCTTGCCTTCCGCAACCGCCTTGCAACGTATGATAATCTTAGTAGGCTTGATGTGATTAACATTTGTCCATTTTGCAAGGGTGAACCGGAGACGGTGCCACACCTTTTCTTTGGTTGTCAATTTACAGGCACAGTTTGGAGCAAAGTAAGAGCATGGATTGGAATACCTAGACAAATGTCTACTCTGGAAAGCTCAGTTAAGTGGATTAGGAAGGAGCATGCAGGTGCGGGGATCAAGGCCAAGGCAGTCAGAATTGCATTCATCTATACTATATACTGGTTATGGAGAGTTCGGAATGCCACCAGATTTGATGATAAGAAGACCCAAGAGGAAGAAGTTTTTGCCAGGATCCAATACATGGTGTATAAGATCCTCTATAGTATTTATCCTCATGAGCTTATTACGTTTTGAAATTTTATAGGGTGCGGCTACATGCCTTTTTTTGTGTGATTTGGGACTGATTGTATAGCCCACAGGTCTATGGTATATCCCATGTTGGGATAGCCCCATTTTTGTCCCCCACTTTTTTGCCTCACTTGTACAGAAACTCTTTTGGATGATATATATAATTACCCTTTATCCAAAAAAAATTTAAACCAGTGCCCGAAGACAAGTTTTAGAACTCGGTAAGATCTTTCCAACGAGATATTAAACTCTTTCAACGGCACAAAATAGAGCAAGATATGATCGCATCAAATTCTACATGAGTTCAGAGTGAAATCAAAAACATTTGTGAATATATGGTTAATCTGTAACTTTTAATTAATGCATTGTAAATGAAGTTGGAACAATAGCTTTCGAGCCCCGATCTATCTTTCCAACGAGATATAATACGCTCCAAATGGATAAACACACAGCAAGATATGAGTGTCACAAATACTTAGCCTTATCTCCATGATTTAGTGTTTTCAGTGAAAGTAGAGCACGTTTAGCGTAAATACAGTGTATTTTAGTAATTAGGCAATGATCCATTGATATTTTGAAACCAACGCCTGAAGACAAGTTTTAGAACTCGGTATGATATTTCCAACGAGATATTAAACGCTTTGAACGGCACAAAATAGAGTAAGATATGATCGCATCAAATTCTACACGAGTTCGGTGTGAAATCAGAAACATTTGTAATAATAATAATAATAAAATAATAATAATAATAATAATTATAATAATAATAATAATAAAATAACAATAATAATACCCCTAATAATAATAATAATAATAATAATGATAATAATAATAATAATAATAATATCAATAATAATAGTAATAATAATAGTAATAATAATAATAGTAATAATAATAACAGTAATAATAATAAGAGTAATAATAATAATATAAGTAATAATAATAATATGAATAATAATAATAATAATAATAATAATAATTAGGCAATTATCCCTTGATATTTTGAAACCAGCGCCTGACGACAAGTTTTAGAACTCAGTAAGATCTTCCCAACGAGATATTAAACGCTTTCAACGGCACAAAATAGAGCAAGATATGACCGCATCAAATTCTACACGAGTTCAGAGTGAAATCAGAAACATTTGTGAATATATGGTTAATCTATAAATTTTAATTAATGCATTGTAAATGAAGTTGGAACAATAGTTTTAGAGCTCCGATCTATCTTTCCAACGAGATATATTACGCTCCAAACGTATAAACACATAACAAGATATGAGTGTCACAAATACTTAGCCTTATCTCTTTGATTCAGCGTTTTCAGCGAAAATAGAGCACGTTTAGCGTAAATAAAGTGTATTTTAGTAATTAGGCAATCATCCCTTGATATTTCGAAACCAGCGCCTGAAGACAAGTTTTAGAAATCGGTAAGAGCTTTCCAACGAGATATTAAACGCTTTCAACGGCACAAAATAGAGCAAGATATGATCGCATCATATTCTACACGAGTTCGGAGTGAAATCAGAAACATTTGTGAGTATATCGTTAATCTGTAACTTTTAATTAATGCATTGTAAATGAATTTGGAACAATAGCTTTAAAGATCCGATCAATCTTTCCAACGAGATATAATACGCTCCAAACGGATAAACACATAGCAGGATATGAGTGTCACAAATACTTAGCCTTATCTCTAGGATTTAGCGTTTTCAGCGAAAATAGAGCACTTTTAGCGTAAATACAGTGTATTTTAGTAATTAGGAAATCATCCCTTGATATTCTGAAACCAGAGCCTAAATACAAGTTTTAGAACTCGGTAGGATATTTCAAACGAGATATTAAACGCTTTCAACGGCACAAAATACAGCAAGATATGATCGCATCACATTCTACACGAGTTCGGAGTGAAATCAGAAACATTTGGGAATATATGGTTAATCTGTAACTTTTAATTAATGCATTGAAAATGA